ATCACCAGGAGTTGTAAAACAATCTCAGAGAATTCACAGCCTCTGAACATGCTAACTACACCCTTCATAAATTCGCCTCTAGTTTCTGTTATCATATCACTGTCTCTGGAGACCCTTGGCTTGTCATCATTTGCCCTTTATAATTTATTCATCTTCTTGCTTCTATACTTTCTACTTATCATTCATCTTTACAGTTGTACATAAAATTAGATGGATCCTTCAGTGGCAGGGAAGTGTAGATGGGGATGGGCCTCTTGGAGGAAGCCCCTTGAAGGCTGGTGGAGGACTTACTAGAGCCTCCTCTAGGTGCCAAGGTGGAGTAAGCAAAAGGAGACAGGGGTAAGGACAGGAGGGAGAAAAGACAGAGAAAGAACAGAAAAAAAGAGGAAGGTAGAAATGAAAGGCAAAAGGAAGATGTTCAGAAAGGAGAGCAGGAGAAAACAGACCAGAAAAGTGAGCATGAGAAATTGAAATTAAGGAAAAGGGAAGGGAGAGATGGACAGAAGTGTTGGGGCTTGAACTTGAATTTTACATTTGGTAAATTTTTCATCTTACTATCTTTTTTTTTTAACAAACTCATAGAAGGTCACCCTGATTTGCCATGGAAATGACAGTTCCTGCATTGCAAACACCTGAGTTTGGGGAGTCTGGATGGCAGGGATACTGCATGTCTTCTGTGTGACTTCAGGGTTGAGTGGGAGGCAACAGAGTGTGTTAGTTGCCCAGTAAGGGCACAAAAACCTGTCTCTAACTAGCAGATTGGAGCTTTGATATTTACCAAGAAGAAACAGCTCCCTTTCAGCGTGCCTGCTCCCTTCCACTCCAGCTTCCTTGTCCCTGCCTCCAGGCGTCCTGCTAATGGGAACCAGACCCCAGTTCTTCCAGCTCTGGCCAAAAACCTTTATGCAGCTGAAGGAGTAATTCTGGCTACCTTTCATCACATATCTGCATTTCCCTAGTCACAGCTTTGTTCTCTAGGACCCATATTCCTAACTTCAGGAACAGATGGGCTCTCCCTGGAAGACAATCCTCTGCAAAGTCCCAAAGGCTGGAGCAGCTGGAACTCAGCAGTGGGGCTGTGTTTTAAGGCACACAATTCTTCCACAGGGTTTCCCACACACACACTCAGACTCCGGATAGCTCTCAGACCTGGTGTGAGGCATGAACACCTCTGTTTCAGGCTCCTGCCTTGCTATGCATACATATTGCAAAGCTGTTTCTTGTTACTCTAACATTGTCACCTTATTCCAAACTCTCTTCTTACTGGCTCATATCCTGAAGGAATCCCCCGATAGCCATCTTTGCCCCCTTGAAAATTCTAAAGCAACTGAAAGCATTAGCAAAAGTGAAGAACTTGGCAGATCCATATCTACTTATCAATTGTGTTATCAAGATTATGGTTTCTTCCTCACAAGGTGGTCCTAAAAAGAGACTGAGGCAAGAGATGTGACAAATAGCACTATGCCTATCATTTAGTGTAGTGTTTGTCAAGTATTCACTGTGAATGCTAAGCAGTTGACTACACTGGCCACTTTATTGTAACATCTATTGGCTTCCACGGTTCTTTATGTTTTTGTGTGTATCTTCTGTACCCAACTTGATGGGCAACTCCAAGAGGGAAGGGTATATATTGGAAAATGCTTGCTGATGGATTGAGAAGCCACATTCTGTGATTGTACCCTGTAAACACTGATGATAAAAGGGACTGGTCTTCCATCAGGAAAGAGTAGAGAGACAGAGAAAGAGAGTAAGACAGGGAGAGAGAGAGAGAGAGAGAGAGAGAAAGAGAGAGAGAGAGGGAGAGAAAGAGAGAGAGAGAGAGAGAGAGAGGGACTGAGACAGACAGATTTTTAAAAAAGTGCATCATGCTGAGTTTCTGGCAGAAGGCCATATTCACAAGGACCCTGGTGAAGCTTCATGGTTTAGTAATCTCACTCTACTGAAACCATGCCACATTCAAGAATAATAATCCATTTGTGACACTGGTCCAGGCAATGACTCTTTCAGCCCTCAGAGCAGCTTCAATTAGGCTGATTTCCAGGGAAATTGGCCTCTGATTCAGAAGAGCAGCCATTGAGGACCTGTTCCCTAAAATTCTATTCATTCCAAGAGGAATGTTAGCTCCCCTGTCCTCCTAGATGAAGGTGAGTGAGGAGTGCCTTTGGTCTAGCTGCAGTTGCTGTGTTGGTGCTGGCTGTCCACGGTGTGCTTATGTGTCTTTGTGTACTACAATGGATTATTTTTCTTGCTGAAAGGTGATGCCAGCTCTGAAAGTTGCTGGGAAGCAGAAAGTGTTGTCTGTACAGCTTTCCTACCTATCTCTCCTCAGTAAGAAACTAGAGGGCTAATTTTAATGGATTGATTTTAATGAATTTTGAAGTCTGGAAAAGTGCCTAAATTACTGAGGTTACCAGTTTTCCAGATTCCCCTTTCAATTTCATTCCCCTTAGATGCACGGGCTGCTCAAGGAGGACCCCTACTAAGGCCACCCCCAGACAAGAAGAGGTTTCTTATGTGTCCCGCTTCCAACCAAACAGGCAGCTGTAAGCACAGTCTCAGCTGGCAGGACCATGTATGATTTGGTTGAAGAGCATTTTGCTTGAACCTCTCACTCTGCATTTGCTGGAGGCACACTTCCTCTGATCTCCAAGGAGAGCACCAGCTCACAATAATAACGGCAGTTCTGCTTTTCTGGATCAAAATGACTCCACTTTAAAGCGTAATTTTACTCGGTCATTTTGTTTTCCATTTGTCTGCATGTGAGTTTGTGTGGGGACAATGTGCCCTCAGAACCTGTAGCTGCAACTCATCCTTTCCCCTGTGCCAGCTCTGCCTGCCCAGAGAATTGTTCGAGCAGCCTTGTGAGCCTGAGCCTCCTCAGGAAGCCTTTGAAGAAAGGTCTGTGTTCTGGGCAGCACAGGGAACTCTGGGCTGTGTCTGAGCCCCACCAGAGGAATGTACTTCCACCCCATCTCTGCCAACGAATGTTCATGGTTCTTTTTGCCTCGTGCCCAACTTGTCTTTGTGATATCAGAAAAATGCCACTGGATCTCCCAGTATGAGGGATTAGCGCAGATTATGGGGAATGGTGTTAATTACCAGTGGAAGGGGGGCTAGTGCCTCACTCCAATGTGCTCCTGATTTCCCCTGGGCCTTTCTGCCTGGTAATAAGCCTTCTTTAATCTGGCAGGCCCCTTGGTGAAATCAGCACCACGGACAGTGATATTGATTGCTTCTGAGAAACCATCACAGCTGCTCAACCAAATTACCTTTGATATGTGACCTTTAATGTAATTACTGCAACATCAAAGTATTTCTATAAATTATTAAAGAACTAATACACTCCATCATTTAGCTGTTCTATTATATGTAAAATAAACAACCACGAGTTAAGGTTAGGTTTGGAACAATCCACAGTCGCTTTTCCTTTTTCAAAAATCGGAACCCTACTCCTAGCTTCTCTGTTTCTGTTTCCCCATCTGATTCCAGCCTTTAGCCATTATGAAACTCTCAGCAATCTCTCTCAAGCTGATGGGCCTCCAATAACAATGTGGTATTTCCTATTCCATTTGGGTGAATCTCAAATATCTATCACAATGTCCCCCCAAACAAAAGTGCCATAAACACTTTATTAATCAGCATGAACATTTCTGAGAAACATTTAACCATCTTACAATATGGCTTTATGCGTCACGCACAACGTGGAGTACATTTTTGCCATCCTACAGAGGGCACCCGGAAAGTATTACTATAATATATGTGCATGTAGTCGCTCCACTAAAAAACCAACTGGGAACGGCCACCCTGCCAAAGCCCCGCTCCACACAAAATCTGTGCGCGCCTGCATTTCCATACATTTGCATCCGCGGCTATGTTATTAAGATGACTCAGTCCCGTGCTTTGCAATCACAAATACCAAAATACAATACAAAGGCTGTCATAATGGAAGGGAGGGCATATGTAATTCCGCATTCTCGACCCAAAGCCTTAATGAAAGACCTCTGAAGCAAGGGGGTGGGGGTAGGTAGTGGTGGGGAGCTGCTTCACCCTAGGGTGTGCCATTTGCTCTTGTTTACCTGGTTAACCTTTCCTGCTGTGGGGCAGAAATGGAAACGTGTGTTTACATATGGTTTGCTTGGTAAGAATGTAAACACGCAAGTCTAAGCATAGGCGTGCATACATCGAGAACACACGTGCTTCCCAGCAGCGCCCACTGTATACGCAGAAACATGGCATATTTGCTTATTCTTTAAACCATGCCCACAAACACACCTCTTTCCATTTATCTTTAGACGCTCAGTGGCTGTATATTTCCTACCCCCCCCCACCCAATCTCTCTGAATCCACAGGAGAGACTGCGCAGACCCTTGACCCGAGGGACACTTCTTATTTTATGGTGATGAACTAGCCTCGATAATAGCCACGGCTGATATCACACCCAGTTAGGGGGACCATAAATAATTCCCTTCTCCCCCTCACAGAAGCTATAAACCAGGGCCAAGGCGCGATAGTTTATCAAAGACGAGGGCTGGCTCCTTAAATAAACCGCGGTGATCTCACTCGCGGCGCCGGGGATGCGCCCCTCCCACCGCAGCCCACGGCTCAGGAGCCACGGGTGCTGGACCCCAGCGGGGCCCAGCTGGACGCACTGGGAGCGAGCGGAGCATCGCCTGGCAGTGCGCGATTCCAGGCCCAGGACATGCAGCGCCCCACCCCGAGCCGTGCGCGCCCTAGCCCCATCTGGGCTCCGGGCCACCGCCAAGTTCGTCCCCGTCGGGCCTGGACGGCCAGGAGCCACGGCGGCGGGCGCGTCCCAGCTCAGTGCCCGCTGTCCCAGCACCTCCCCCCCCCGCCCCCCGCAGCTCGCGCTCAGGGGCTCAGCGGGAGGTAGCCCGGCCCGCGGGGTCCCGGCTGTCCCCGCCCCACGAGTCGCGGCCCGACCTCCCGAAGTCGCCCCCTGTCGGCGCGCGGCCGGCTGCGCCACGGCCCGCGCCACTTACCCCGGGCAGGGTCTTCTGCTCGTGCAGCGCGCTCTGGGCCTTCAGCGCTGACTCACGCTCGCAGTAGGTGAGGAAAGCGCAGCCTGGGAGGGAAGCAAGCGGCGACAAGGGTCAGTGGGGGCGCCCCCAGCCAGGCCCGGCCCGCTGCCGCGCCCTGCCGCCCGCCCCACTCTCCCGCCTTCCTGCTCGTCACTGCTCTCCCCACCTCGCTCTCTCCTGGGCGCTCTCTTCAGTGCTTCCCTGCCTCACCGTCTCCCGTCTGTCTGCCTCTCCTTCCTCCCGTGGCTTTTTCTATTTTGCTCCCTCCGCGGAGTCCTCCCCACTCCCGACCCCCCCCCCCCCCGCCCCGCGGGTCTCACTCTGTCCTTGCGCCCTAGTGCTTCAGGCGTCTCTGCCTTCTCCCCACTCCTTGTCAAGTGTTGTTTTTAATCAATTTCGACTCTAGCCCCTAAACCTCACAGGAGGGGCAGTTCCCCCCTTAGATCCGTGCTTCCTTGACTGTTACCGCCCCTCAGCAGTGCAAGAGTCAGGGAGCTTCCAAATAAAGGCCGAATTTGTAAGGAAGAGCCTACCCTCGGGTCAGTTGTCTTAATCAAATGAACTGGGCTGTCACATGTCCTTTGGTTACTCTGCCCCGATTCCCGTTGTCAAATCTGTGGTGAGGGTCTTCACACATATCCTTGTCTGGAGGTTTCTGGGGCTGTCAAACTCACGGAAGCCTACCCTTGTTCCTACTCTAACTCCTTGAGGACAGCTTTGCCTTACTTTACCCAGCCTGCATCTTCTGTTAAAAAAAAAAGAAGGGGGGAGGGGCTGAGAATGCTCTCCAAGGTCCTGTCTGCTTTTTCCCCTGAGCCATTGTAAGAATTCCACTCCAGGGCTTGCAGGGACTCTGGAGTGCAGTGCAACCCTGCTCTCTGAGGGCTCGATGCCCGTCTACAAAATCCATAACCAGGAACAGAGTGTTCGCTGACAGACCTGGTTTTGAGAATTCCCTCTACTTACTAGCTTCAGGGCCCCCTTCCTCTGTCTGCACGTGTGGCTGAAGGTGGCTTGGCTCTCCTGCAAAACCAGCTGGAAGCATGGGTTAAACTGCAAAGGCCTGCCTTAGCTAAAACACCCCTGTTTGTAAGGCCATCCATGACCCTAGCATAGAGAGAAGACCAGCGGGGTGGACTGCTGCCTGCATGGTGTGTAGCCTGCTCCCTCTACACCCCACCCCATTTTATGTGACTAGTCAGGGTAGGGTTATGTCCACTCTCTCCACTTCCTTTGTTCCCAGTCCAGTCCTTGTCATGAGTCTGCTTGCAGCGGCTCCTGACTGCTCCAGTCTCTCCATGGACTACATCCATTCCTCTGTCCACTACAGCCTTCTGGTCCTTCGAAGCACATTCACTTCTTGAATGTTTGTGCCGTGCTAGACATAGACTCTTTCCTTCTTAGGCCTCCCAAGCTGGCAGTGGCTGTCTGGTACACACCTCAGTTCTAGTCATTAGACGTGTGGCCACTTGATGCACAGAGTCCCCACAATGTCCTCTCCAGTACCTTATTCCCACGATCAAGTTCGTACCTAGTAACCATTGTCCCTCCCCTTCTGACATAGAAATAGATTCTGCTTCCCCATCTTTGCTGGCTGTGGACATGGCAGGAAGGAGACACATGTGCAGCGGGGAGAGAGAGATGGAAAAAGGAAACGGAAGCTCCGATTTCAGTGTTGGCTCTATGTCCTGCCAAGGCGTCTCCATGCCATCCTCCTTCCCTTGGACCAGGCCCCATCACCCCTCCCCCTCCTCCCTCCCTCCCCTCCCTTCTCTTCCCTCCTGGTCACTGGCAGACAGTTATTGATGGGGACACAGGCAGCTGAAATGAATAGCGGTCAGAGGCCCTGTGACGTCGTCCCTCATGCTGCCGCCTGCCTTTCCCAGGGGCGTCTTTCCTCCTGTTCCCTCATCCCCTTGTTGGCCTTGTCTTCTGCCTGCCAGAGAGGCAGCCAGTGTTTTAGCCACAGGCAGGCAAGCCGGCTTGGGACAAGGTCAGTGGCAGTTTGGAGAGAAGGAGGAAGTAAGAGAAGGAGGAGCAAATGATCATATTGTTTTCACAGCCTAGAAAAATAAACTAGGGATCACGGAGGGGGAAATCTGTTGCTTTTGTCCAGCCTCTAGGAAGTTCTATTGTTTCTTTGGAGAGACCTCAGAGCTCCTCCTGTGGTTTTTAGGAACTCTGTCCCAAATCCAAGTGAAGCACGTCCTGCCATTTCCCCCTTGGAATCTCTCTTGCCTGTTTGTTTCCCCTCTCTGGTTCCCTTTACTTTTCCTCCTCTGTTTGAAACATCTTCTGTCTTAGAGCTCTGTCCTAAATGGCTGCTTCCTCACCCTTCCCCTTCTACTAGACTGGCCCGCCTTCCTCCTTCACTGCCTTCAGGTATCCATCAGATGTGACCTCCTCCGCCGTTTCAACCCCCTCACCACCATCCCAGCCTCCAGCACACACATCTCCCCTGACCCTTTGCTCTCTTTCCTTTCCTGTTTGTCACCCACTACTCCCTGACATTGCTATCTATTTGTTCATTGATTGGCAATCTCCGAATGCTCAGATGAGGCCAGGAACTCCATCTTGTTCTGATTCTGCTTGCTGCTCTGTGCTCAGAACAAGGGTAGAGATGCCTGACTCCCTGAGAGTACTGAATGCCCAAACACCATGGCTAACTTGATAGGAGCATCAGTCATAGGCAGTGGTGATGGAAGGGTTACAGAAATGAAATTGTGTTCAGAGGCTGCCAAGAGCTGCCTGAGCCTCTTGCAGGATGTTACATGCTGGACTGCCTTTGTGCTGTATGTCTGAGGTTGCTTGTGGGGGTCAGTAGGAGGGTCACTGCAGGTTGTCTTTTTTTCTTTCTGTAGGCTCCCAGTTCAGGCCTGTCAGTGAACCCATAACCTTCTGGAATTCCTTGAAAGGGCTGATACACATCTCTGCTCTGAAGAGCCCTATACCAGCCACAGGTCCCTCAGGGCTTCCCTTTTCCAAATCATGGGTTCCTTACCTATCCTATGTATCTAACCTGGGACAGTCATCCCTTTTAGAAGCTTGGAGAGATACTGGTTAACTAGTGGTTGTTAGACAAAGCTGAATCTGAGCGTCGGGGGAACTAGCTGTGGGTATTTTCTCCGTCTTGTGATGCAGGAAGTGGGGGAGGGCCGCACCCCTTCCTTCATCCTCAGTCCTTCCACTGTGAGGAAGGCCCACCTTTACCCAGAGGCACCATGTACTTCTCCAAGCATCTCTCCACAGTTGGATTTGCACTCCACTTTGCAGTGGGACACATTAGTCTGCTCACTGAAGGCTTTTTGAGGAAGGAAGATGTGGATAAATGGCTTGTAATGCCAAATCCAGTGTGCAAGGAAGGACTAGCTTGCACCCTGGCCAAGATGAGAGCAGAGCCCTAGAGGATGGTAGCTTTGGTGTAGAGGGGGCTGTAGGAGGAAAGCTTTCCCTCACAGGGCACTCTGCATAGCCATGGATTTGGGGTGGAGGCCAAGGTGGGGTCCTAGAGGCCAAACCTTATGAGATGCTGGTGAGGATCTCCTGTTTAGGAATAGAGCAGAGGCACTCACAGCTCCGACCAGGACAGTTAACCATTACCTCCTGGGATAGCTTGAAGGAATATGGAGCCTGCCAGCCTTAGCCTGGCAGCTACTAAGTCAGCCAAACTCACTGTCTTAAGGTATAGTGGAACCCTCAGAGTCATCCCTGCAGAGGTCCTCTGTGAATGAGCGGTGTGGGTGGCAAGCAGATTTTGTCATGGACTAGTTATACACAGGATACTGTGGGAGGTCCTGTCACATGGCTTTCACACGGGGGGCCTGGACAGTTCTGAGAAGGGAGTGTCCTTCTGGTGGTGGGACCAGTGACATGGAGATTTCTCCTGGCTTTCAGGCACAGCCATCCTCTCCAAGTTCCCACCCTACAAGTGTATGGTCTGGTCTTCATGTTCAGAGAGGAGAGCACAACAATCCCTTATGGTTCTTGGGACTAGAAAACAAACAAACAAACAAACCTGAAAACCTAAGAAATGTCCCCAAGGCAGGGATATTTCTATTTAAAAACTGAATACAATAGTTAAAAAGGTGGGTGGTGGCAGTGCACACCTTTAATCCCAGCATTTGAGAGGCAGGGGCAGGTGGATCTCTGAGTTCGAGGTCAGCTTGGTCTACAGAGTTCCAGGACAGCCAGAGCTGTTACATAGAGAAACCCTGTCCCAAAACAAACAAAAAAGACAAAAAAAAAAAAAAACCCAACCAAATAAATAAATACACAAAGAAAGGTGAAATGGTCCTTGATGTACCAACAAAGAAAGCAGCATTATCAGGCAGAAAAAACCAAATTGTATGACAGTTGGTGCCATGAATACACAGAGGAGGCATATCCCACTCCTTCTGTATGGACTCTTTCTGCATTTATGGGCAAAGTTACAAGGAGCTGCACATAGGAGCAAGAGGCCCTGGTGGGGTATGTATTCCTGTGGCGACTTTGCCCTTTTTGTTTGGTTTGACACCTGTAGACATAGATATTCACATATCACTTGCATAATTAACTTTCAAGAAAAAAAATGATCAGTACAATAATAGGCAATGGATTGAAAAGGAAATAGATGGCAGTAGGTAAGACAGAAGGCAGGACCCATAGCCTGCATGGAGAACACCGCTGGGCATCAGCTGTCTTGAAAACACACCCCAAAACAGTAATCTGTTTGTGGGACAGATACCCTTCTGCCTCAGCATCTCTTCTGCTGGGACTGAGCAGTACCACTCTTATCTTTGAAGCAGCCTGGTAAGCTATAAGTGTGAGTTTGGTCCACAGCCTGAGTGAGACGAGTTGGTGTTTGGGGGAATGGAGGCCATGATAGAGTAGCTAGTTTCTCTGACAGCATTGCCAGGTAGGTGTCTTGAGATCTTCCCAGGTATGTGGCTGGAGGTGAGAAACTATCCAAGGGACCGAGGCAATCTCTGGGTGAGCCATGACATGGCCTCAAACTCCCACTGTCGATCAATTCCTGAGCACCTTCCACCAGCTCATTGCCAACCTC